GTACGAACCCCCCCCAACCCCGAATGTGCCGAGGCATCAGCGTACATTTGTAAAGAAAGGCAGGAAATTCAAAGTATTTACATAATATATATTATTTATATATAGTTGTGTAGGCTTGGTAGGTCAGGTGTGCTACAATATTGGATCCTACTGTAGAGGGTACAACACCCTTCTTGTATCCCTCTCTCTTCTAGTCCACCCCTCTTTTCTTTCGTCATTTTTCTCCCTATCTAAAACCTCTCACCATTTCTCATGCCTAGCTAGCTTCTAGGCTTAACTCCTTTCAACAAAGTAAGGTTAATAACAGAAATTGAAAAGGCCGAATCAACAAAAAAGGGGTGCAATTTGAGTATAATAATAGTGTAAGGAATTTTGATTCCTTACTAGGGCTGGCTTTAGCAAGTACACTTGAACTCTTCTCGTCCGCAGGCTCGGCCCTCAAGACTCTCGCCAAACTAGCCCCCGACGACCTATTCGGCCTCCAACCTGATCCCGAGTCTCCCCGAACCCATTTCGCCCCCGTCGTCCTCGGGAATCTCGAGCCCTCTACTGGTCCAACCCTCGACTGGTCTAACCCTCGACATTCAACCCTGGTCAATCGCCCTATATATTCCCTAGGCCTCATTTCTATCAACATTCTGTGATCACATTCCCCTTATTGAATACTGCGCTACACTCCAAGTTATAATTCATAACACGTGGTATCAGAGCTACGTTTCTGCCCGTCTAGCTTCTGATAGGGGAGTAGACCCTATCGGGGAAGGGGACGGAATGATGCCGATGGCGAGCAGACGACACGGTGATTAATTACGCTGTTGTCAGACTCCGTCAGATCCTGTCTGATGGACGGCTTGGATTAGCCAGTCCCCCCTTTCCTCGGACGTGGACAAAATTGTCTTCCAGCATGAGTGTGGCGACGTTTTAGCAGTCTTTTTTGGGTACGTTCGTTAGAGCTTTCGTGATTTTCAGTTGTTCTGACGGAGTTGTCGGATTGGCTTCAAAAAAAAATAACAACGAAATTTTTGCTGAGAGAAGACAAGTGCACGGGAGTCCTCAGGCGGCCGGGAGTTGGTCGTTAGGAGCGCACGGGGTGGCGACAATGGCGGGACGTACCGCGATGTGCGTCTGGCGCGTCATGAAGCTACAGGGTGAACTGTAGTTGTATCGTGGGTCCTGCGTTTCTGGCAGGCTAGTTGCAAATCATGGACGCGACTTCATAAACTGTTTTCGGCAATGGGCGGTCTCGACAAATTTGGCACGACACAATTGCACAAGGCACGTGTGGGTGTGCAGTTGTGTGGAAGCACCCGAGATTAACGACCTTGGCGTTGTTCACATGCGATGGCCATCTGGAGGTGATGATGCTGTGCTGGAGTAAGTGTACTCTGCGATGGCGACTTCCTGCGTGGGGAGCGTTTTTGTGGACCAACGATTCATACCCCCACAATCAAAGGAAATGGAGACCACCATCCTCTGGTGTGTATTAAGTGTTTTCCACCGGGTTGCCGAAAGCGTTATCTGCCTAGAGCTGAAGCAGTTAAAGAAGAACGATGAGAGTATTGGAGCTTAGTTAAGGGTTAACGATGTTCGGGCTGCTCCTCGCTCATCTACACCGCCCGAATATCACCATCCCCACCAGGAAGCAGTATCGATTTGCAATCGACCACTCTTGGCTGAATAAGGGGGGCGAACCTGCAAACTACACTGTGCTGATGGAGTGTCCCCGAATCTTCATGAGTAATTGTAGCAGCGGAGCTGAAAGTTTCATCGGATGCTGAAAAGAGGTTTCCGTAGTTTTCGAGTATAGTTCAACAAGTTTCCGACAGAGGAGGGAGTTGTCCAGCGGTCAGTAGGTGAGCTCGTTAAAGCTCCTCTAACTAGAAGCGTGCGCACTCCTATCTCTGCGGATTCTCCTGCAAAACTTAGTTGATTGTGCAGCAGCAAAACAGATTTGGGTAACCTGCAGCAGCCGCGAGAAGGGTGAGCATCGGCACGGCCAGCTGGCGAGGGGTACCAGAGAAACTTTTGGAGTGGACGTTCGGCAGTGTTCCTGACAGTTTTGAAGTGCGGCGGAGCTTTCCGGAGTCGTCCTTGGTTAGTGGGGCAACTTGTCAAGGCGCAAAGCCTAGGGCTTATTGTTGGTGCCACGGCAAGTGCGACGATGGGTGAACGTCGATGCGCTACTAAACGTAAGGGTGCCACCGTGGGAAATCCTTTGAAGTTTAACGGAGCAGATGGTCAGGGGTACCAAAGTATTTCTAGAGTTGGGTAACAGCTGGGCGGAGATCGACGGCGTATGATGCGCTTTGACCCTGATCGACAACCAGAACATCATGCCGAGGTGGTGGACTCCGTAGTTCCCTAAAATAAAGGGTACAGTTCATGTGTACAGCTGGTGGAGCAAATGTGGGGGCGTTCCTAAAGGATGCCACGAAGCCTGAATGTGTTACGGAAAGCTGGGAAGCAGTGTTGCAGTCTTGGTCAAGTATCGATGGAATTCCGACATTTTTGCTAGAGATGTTCATAGACTTATAGCTGGAGCAGTACCCGCCATCATCGGAGGTACAAGCAACATTGACCAAATTTTGTGGAGTATTCTGGGTGCATGGAGAGGAAGAGAGAAGCAGCTGTTTCGTCTCCTTCCTAAATTTTCGGCATGTTCAGGCAAAGAAGCTGATGCAGCTGGCGTCATTGAATCCTGGGTTCGGCTCGAGGGTATTCTCTGGAGTGGTTTCATACAGGTTACCTCCATCGCCATCGTCTTCCGCCTCTTGCCACCACTCGCTACCGTCTACATCGTCATTTTGCCTGATTGTGTAAACACGGCCTGACTCGCCATCCAACAAATGACAGCAACCGTATCGAGTCAAAAAGATTTGGCAGCTGGAAGCATGCGCAACTGTTGGAGCTCAATCCTTAGACTCACTCTCTTTGCGCTTCATTACAGATACACCTATTCTTCTCTATTGTCTTACCCGGAAGAGTCTAATTTTGAATCCCACCTAACTGGTTTTCAGCATGACTCGCGTTGACGCTGAGCCTCATTGGCTGCAGTCTGAACGATAGCGAAGAATCAAGTTGTATTCCGATAATTACGAGAATCCGAGCTGGGAGGTCGCACTGGCAAATTGTCTCGTGCATGAGCGAGAATTTGTAACCAAGTGACAGTTCTTATTATGGGTTTTCCCCTTCAATGTCCCGTTTGCCGGGGTTTAACAGTTTCCTGCTTGCACGCTCAAGCCGCGTTTAAACAAAAAGTATCTCAATAGAAACAAGAGGCGACGAGATCGTCTTAGGGTTGCGGAGCATTTCATGATAAGACTTTATTATACATAAAATGTTTTATTTCCATCACAAAAAGCATTTAATTTTTATTTCACAAACTTGAAAAAAAAACCAGCCCGATCGATTGCAATAGGTTGCTCCGCAACCCAAAAAATGGTGTAATTGGGCAAGGAATTAAGCCGGAGATACAGATCTGTATCGTTTGCTGCTGTACTCGTGAGGCGATTCGATCCAGTTACCCCGCATCGTCTCTGCGAGTCGTGAATGGCACAGAATACTGTACCACATCACGTGAACGAAGGTGATACGGAGGTCGCACGAGATTCGCCCTAGTGCTGTGAAAGACCTAGGTACTGTACCATTCACGATTTCCCGTGACCCGAGGTTTGTGGCCACTGAAAAGTACACCTAGCTTTAGGTATTTTCACACCCAGTATTTTCACAAGGGGTGCCGCCGAAAGGGTATTTACCCCCCGAAAGCAGCTCCTGAAGACCAGATCCGGATACCCTTTAAAAACAATTTTAACTTGGGTTTCTGTACGAAACGATTAATGCTCGATTTAGTGTTTCTCGAGTCAGGAAACCTGGTGTCAGCTTAGGTAGTTCTCAAAGTTTTTGCCCGCGTGTGGTTTTTCAAGCTTAGGCCGTAGGGACAAGGGGGTTCTGTCTACGCACTCAGAAATGGTCAGGGTGGAAAGAAACAAACATTACACTGCCGCCCAGTTTCAGGGTGTGAAATTCCAGTGGGCTGTGTACAGTATGAATAACTCGGGTTCCAGAGCTGTTTTCGCAAGCACCCACTTATCTGGAATTTCGCATTTCGTTGATGGCGGGCTGGAAACGGGTCTTTGGTCTGCACCCAACCTAATGCGCGTCTTTGATTCTTCCGAATCTCCCCCAGAGCACTCGATTTCTCCCGAGATCCGAGTCTGGTCCATAACAATTTTGGCCGAGTTAGAGAATAGTTCTGGAAGATAGGAGGGCGAGCGCCGGGAGACAGCGAGGGGTATAGAGAGATGCGCCTGAAGCAGAAGGGAAAATAGAGGCGTGTGGGATTGGGATGGGGAGTGGGGGTGGCGGCGGGTGGGGTGGAAGTGGGTGTAGGGGGTTGGGGTTGTAGTTAGCGTGTTTGCCAGAATGTGCCCAACGCAAACCGGTACTGAGCCCCTTGTATATTTCCCGAACTCCATCCTTATCACACCCGGAACCAGGTCTAGCCAAACTCCAATATTTGACTTATTCTGAGAACTAGCCCGGAAAATAATAAATACCCATGCAGACCGATCCTTCGCACCTCCCTCGGTTCACATCACCTCAGGGCGCGTTCCAGGCTCGGGAAGATTTTCCGTAATCAGTCTGAAGCCCTGGAGGTGGAAGACTCGGGGCTTTGGGCTGACGAGCCAAAAGCGGTTTATGATTATTTAGGCACAGAAAACCTGAACTCCGACCACTGAGCATGAGGGGAGACGCAACCAACCAGATTTGCAACCACTGCAGTCCCTCACCCGTCGTTGCCCTGAAGATATCGGCTGAGTATCCGAAGTTTTGCCCCGAAGCTGCCCGAGCCCGGAACGCGCCCTTAGTCTGTTGCCCCTCGCTTCTCTCGACCATGTTCCTCCCTTGTTCCCCCACTCTTGTTGAGCCCAATTCCTAAATCTTTCACCACACTTCCGCATCACCTCGAATCTAAACCCGCTGAGGCGTTAGTGGCTGTCCTTCCATCAGCTGGCACCGACGATTGCCCGCTCGCCCCGTTGGTCGTCCATCTTCGAGACTTGCACCTCACACGGCATCCCGCCATCATGACGGAAAATCCACCTCGCCCGCGTTCTTGCATCCCAACCTTTTCGTCCGCCGCGATGGAGCAACGCTGCGCCATTTCAACTTGAAGTTGTTCAGCCTCTTTGGGGGCCTGAGCCTACCATTCGCCTCCGCCACTCGCTCATTGCCACTCGCTCATTGCCACTCGCTCATTGCCACTCGCTCATTGCCACTCGCTCATTGCCACTCGCTCCATCGCATTCACATTTTTCTTAGGAAACCCTCCGACTGTGCTGCGAAAATACATTCTCCTCGAGGCTCCTCGTGGAGGGCTCGGATCATAGTTACAACTGCATCTGCTCAACGCCACGAGCAATGTCGACGTCGACGTTCCCGTCCGCGTCAACGTCCTCCTCGTCGTCCTCGCTTACCTCTTCCTCCGCTTCCAGCCGCATGGAAGGACCTACTACTACCAATGCCTCATCGCTCACAGCGACCACCATGAAGGTGGCCACGTCGCCGGCGGCGGCTGCGACGGGCGGCGACGCGGTGTGCGACTGTCCGCTGCGTCGCCACAACGTGAGGGTTATCGGGACCGGGAAGACGACGCTACTGCTGTCGCACGGCTTCGGCACCAACCAAAAGGTAACTGCCAGTTGAGCAGTGCTCCCGCTGCAGCCTGCGCCGCCGCTCCACCCGTTTTCGCACGCGCCCAATTACGTCCCAAAATACCAGTGTCAGAAATACGAAGTACATATACAGTAGGTAGGGCATAGGAAAGTCTGCTACGGAGTAGTTGCTATACGAACAACTATATCTACAATATAGGTGAGATCCACATTTTTGCGTAGTACGCCAAACGATGGTGACGTACTTTCGTACGATGGTATAGAACCGCCCCATCCGTATCCTTTTTCGCAGATCTGGGACGGCGTGCTGGCTCACCTGGACCTGCAGCACACCTTCCGCGTGGTGCTGTGGGACCTCATGGGCGCGTTCAGCACCACGCCCGCGTCGTACGACTTCCAGCGCTACGCGTCGCTCTTCTCGCACGCGGACGACCTCCTGGAGGTGCTGGACGAGCTCGCCGTGGACGGCGCCGTGTGCGTGGGCCACAGCGTCAGCGGCATGGTCACGCTGCTCGCCAGCCTCGAGAAGCCCAGCGCCTTCACCCGCCTGCTGCTGCTCGGGTCCTCCCCCAGGTATGCCGAGCGCCGAGCGCCGTTCGCCGAGCGCCGTGCGCCGTGGGTTGGGTTACTCGTAACTGGTAGTTACTGTGCTACAAACGCGTTACGTCCCGTTCTCGATGCTTGGTTCGTGCCCCATTGTTGCACGTGTACTGTTGGCGCCTAGTTCGCCAAACACCGTCCCAGCTGCTCTGCCCTCCCGCTCTTTCTCTATGCTTCCCCCTTCTCACTCCTGCCCATCCCCCTCCCCAGGCCGGGTACCTGAACGAACCATCGTCGGGGGGATACATAGGAGGGTTCAACCCGGACGCAGTAAACCAGACCTTCCTGGCGGTGCGTGACAAGTACTTCGCGCGGGTCACGGGCTTTTAAGTCGACCCAAAAGCATCCCCATTCCGTCCGTCTGTCCGTCCCTCCCTCTCCTCCCGACGGCCAGGTACCTGAACGAGCCATCCTCGGGGTACATCGGAGGGTTCAACCCGGGCGACCTGGACCAGATCTTCCTGGCGGTGCGCGAGAACTACATTGCGTGGGTGTCGGGCTTCGCGCCGCTCATGGTGGGGCGCGCCATCAGCAGCCGCGAGGTGCGCGAGTTCAGCGAGACCATGCTGCAAGTGCGCCCGGATATTGCTCTCAGCACGCTCCGAACCGCGTTCCAGGCCGACTACAGACACCTGCTCGGACGGGTGGGTTACTCATGAGGGAAGGCTTGTGGGAGGGAGGAGGGGGGAAGGAAGGGGGAAAGGAAGGGGGAAAGGAAGGGGTGAAGGGGTGTTGTGGGGGGAGGGGGGAGACATGGGGGAGGGGAGGGTGGAGAGGAAGAAATGGAAGAGCGGAGGAGGAAGAAGAGAGACAAGTGATGGGAGGGGTGGTGAAGGGTAGGCTAGTACGTGATTCTGTAACCTGATTGCTGCCTCACTGGCGCCCTCCCTCCCTCCCTCTCCTTGTCGCTCCAGGAACAGGCACCAATCACACCTTCTAACCAACAACTCTCTTTTCCGCGCCTCCGTCCCCTGGTCTTCTCTAGGTGTCCTGCCCCGTGACGGTGTTATGCACAGAGAGCGATGCCGCAGTGCCCGTGCAAGTGAGCCAGTATCTGAGGGACGCCATTCCAGGGGCGTGCATGGAGCTGCTGCCCACGCAGGGCCACCTCCCCCACCTCACCCATCCAGCTGTCGTCGCCCAAGCCATCCAGCGCCACGCTGCCGCTCCGCATTGAACCCCGGTGCATCGCACTACCCTGCACTGCACTGCACACAATACCGTGTAGAGGCAAACGAACGGCCGGAAGAGGTGAGGTGAGCTGTGCTGGCCTGGCCTGCTCTCTACTGTGTGTGATGTGACGAACCCCTGCCAGGGGTAGCAGAAGCTCGCCCAGCAGGTGGCCATTACAAGCATGCATGCTCATCACCATGCCCTTACCATTATCGCCCATGCAGTGGACTACCCGCCCGGGGTCCACTATAGGGACGGAGGAGGGGGGAGGGGAGGGGACGGTTTGTAAGTCATCAACTTGGTGTCTAAACCCCCTAAGGAGTTGTACACGAGTTAACACGGGAATGCATGACAGTTGACTATTGTAGACAGAATGCCATTTAGTGAAGTATTTTTATTCAGGATGGACGCATGGTCGTCCTAAAGTGTGATGCACAATCTCTGTATTGGCAACAGCAGTACATCATGCCCACAATTTCACCTTGGTGTGGTACAGTTTGTTTGCACAAAAAGGTCTGGACTTCAGAAGGGGTTGTAGAATGTCTTTTATGCGGCGACATACTTAGTACCTTAGTATAGTGGAGTACACCCAACAAGATGTAACACAGCTAGACTTCTCCTCTCCACTCATCAGCTAGACCCTGTATGGAATTCCTTATCAGAACCATGCCTAACACCTGAAAGGGTTTTGAAAGGTGGTGCAGGATGTCAAACATATATTGTATGTTTCTGTAGACTATACAGGGTTGTCCCTTAGGGAGTACAACCCATTTGGTTATATTCCCTTGTATGCCTTGTTCCAGACATTCTTTCACTTGAACATGGTATCATACGTAGGTAGGTCCTGCCCGCCCCCCCTAGCGCTTCCGCCCTAGGTCCTAGCCGCCCCGCGGCCCCGTCCCCCAGCGGCCCCGCGGCCCCGTCACCTAGCGGCCCCGCGGCCCCGTCCCCTAGCAGCCCTGCGGCCCCGTCATCTAGCGGCCCCGCAGCCCCGTCACCTAGCTGCCCCGCGGCCCCGTCCCCTAGCGGCCACGCGGCCCCGTCCCCTAGCGGCCACGCGGCCCCGTCCCCTAGCGGCCCCGCGGCCCCGTCCCCTAGCGGCCCCGCGGCCCCGTCCCCTAGCGGCCCCGCGGCCCCGTCACCTAGCGGCCCCGCGGCCCCGCCACCTAGCGGCCTCACAGCCCCGTCCCTAGCGGCCTCGCAGCCCCGTCTCTTAGCGGCCCCGCGGCCCCGTCACCAAGCGGCCCCGCGGCCCCGCCACCTAGCGGCCCCGCGGCCCCGCCACCTAGCGGCCCCGCGGCCCCATCCCTAGCAGCCCCGCGGCCCCGTCCCCTAGCAGCCCCGCGGCCCCGTCACCTAGCAGCCCCGCAGCCCCGCCACCTAGCGGCCCCGCGGCCCCGTCCCCTAGCGGCCCCGCGGCCCCGTCACCTCGCGTCCCCGCGGCCCCGTCACCTAGCGGCCCCGCGGCCCCGTCCCCTAGCGGCCCCCCCTCATAGCGAAGCACATTCAGCTGCAGTACTTTCTCCTGCGCGAGCTATTGCAGTGCCGCCACGTCCACGTAGTACACGTGGCCTTCGGTGCCACCACAGCTGATATCTTTACGAAGGCGTTTGCGCCTAAAGATCATCAGCAACACTGTGTACAGCTTGGTCTAGTTCCTGTAGCTTCACACTTGCTAGGACCTTGATTGTGTACTACTTATATATTATCTTGATTGGCCTTGAGGCCTTTGTCCTAGTGGCTGGGCTAGTAGTATCGCCCTGAGTTGCCCTTGTTTAGTTTGTACTCTTGCTGATTGGTCTTCGGACCCTTGCCTCAGAGGTTGGACTAGTAGTGCCACCCTGAGCTGTGTGTCTCTTGCCGGGCACTGCCTATCATCTAGCCTAGGGGGTGTGTCAAACCATATATACGTATTTTATATGCTAGATAGGTGCGTACTCCTTGAGAGTACAACCCCTTAGCACAAAAGCACCTTGTATCTCTCATTCTAATCAATCTTTTCTCTCGTTAACACAAACCCTGTTTTTGGAAAAGTCACCTGTCAGAATCCGAGTTCAGAAAAAAATCAACCGTCAATTTGCCGAAATCCTGGTAATTCCCGTAAAAAATACGCCCTCGTGACGAGTCGCAAGCAAGGCCGGCGCTGTATGGCAAAGCACGTCGAAGGTCAATCGTGTATAGTACAGCGGCTTGTCTGCGATGGGTCCTTGCAAGTGTGTGATTGGTTGTTGCGGGACTTGTGTCACCCGCTAAGAGGACTTGACAAAACTGTTCAGGGGCAAGGGGTGTGGGAAGAATATCTCTAGAAATGGAAGAGTTAACCGATTTTTGTGGGTGTTGGGGGTGTGAGAGGCAAGCCCATAGTTATCAGGCTTTGTACGCTGATTTTGCTTCTTCTAATTTGCAATAATTTGAAAAGCGTTGTAGGAGACTAAGTAAAGAATCTGCTGACACAAGCAATTGAAGTAGAAAGTAATATTGTAAGTACCTCTAGTAACAGCCAATATTAACAAGATGTAACACTAGAATCAGTGTTACAGCCTTGTCATACTTCAAGACTTGAACAAGGATCTTTGCTGGAATGGTAGACTAGTAAGAAAGCGGAAGCCTTAGAACTTGTAAGTGTTGACCAGATTTTACTCAAGAACAAGTTAATAATTGAAGGCATACAAGCTACTCTTATACCTGCTAGAAGTACCTATTCGGTAATGTACTTGTTCAAAAGTACTTGCGCTATGCGCTCTAATCGCTACTGAAAGGGACGCAACTGTTCGCGTGACTGAAACGGCCTGCTGACGTAATCATCCAGACGAGCGCTATTTGCTGACGTCATTCTATGGATACTAGCTACAATGTAACTTGATAATATCTATCGGAACTATACTTACATAAATGCTTAAGTACGATTTTATCAAAACACTTCCCTTCATTTCTGGAAGTCCGATAGTGTCACTTCTTGATAATTCCGTAGAGTTCGCTGCAGTACAGGAACTTCTGACATGTCAGCTTGTTGGTGAAGAAATCTGCAGCCATTTAATTGGTCGAACAGTAGACCAATCGCATTCTCCCCTTCTCGACTTCATCTTTGACGAATAAATATCGTAGCAAAATGTGTTTCGTGCTGTTGGCGAAACCGGGTTGATGCGCAATTCTTATTGCACTTTGCTTGTCACACTGTAGAGTGAACTGTGTACTTGTCGTCAATTTCGCTTCCTCCAGTAGCTCTTGTAAATAGAGACCTTCGCGAGTAGCTGTGCCAGCAGCTATAAATTCAGTTTCAGCAAATGATAGAGCTACGAGCTCTTGCATTGTAGAATTCCACGAGATAGTGCCGATAGGTTCGAGACGGTAGATAAAGCCGGTGCGATATCGACCATTTGAGGTATCTGCTGCATGGTCAGCATCTACGTTCCCGTTGAGATGTAGAGTTTTTGTAGTTGTGACTTGATAGGTAAGTCCAACATCAAGCGTCGAAATGAAATACTGAAGAGCGCGAAGAAGATCTAGCCGATTCTCCCCCTCAAGTCGACGCAGAAATTGCACGAGCTGGCTTGCGGCATAGGCGAATAGAAGACAACCCAGCTGCTGCTGATGTAGCTGTAGTTCAGTGTTGTCGAGTGGAGTTATATCGGGTTTGTGGTCCGTAGGTAGAGATCGGTAAGGTGTGGTTACAGTTGAAGGTGTGAGATAAAAGCATGCGGCTAGTGTAGCTGCGTACTTGGAAGCTCTGAGATGAATAGCAGTTGATGTTCAGCGAATGTTAAGGCCGAGAAACTGTGTGACTGTAGGAGTGATAGTAATCTGTAGATGTTGTTGAAGTTTCGGTTCAAAGACAGTAGCAAGGGAATCGGTGGTCCTGATGTAGAGTAAATCGTCGACATAGGCGACGATTAGGATGTAGTCAAGACAGTCGGTAAGTAGATACATTCCTTGGTCATGCGGTAACTGTCGAAATCCGGCAGAAAATAACTGACGGTGTAGATACTGCTGCCATAGTCGTGGAGCCTATTTAATGCCGTAGAGATACTTTTTGAGACGGCAGACATTGAGAGGGTTAGTTTCGTAGGAATGACAAATGCATAGAGAAATGCATAGGCGACGTTGATTCGGCGAAGTCTGAAGTTCCGGTAGGTCGCGATACAAAGGAGGATGCGGAAACTAGTGTGTCTGCCGACGGGAGCAAAGGTTGATTCGTAGTCGAGTCCAAAAGTCTGCTCGAAGTCGCGGACGACCCATCGCACATTGAATTTTTCAAAGAATCCATCGGCGTTTGTCTTCACTCGAAAAAACCCATTTTTCAGGAAGAACCCCACGGTGCGTGAGCCGGGGCGGCGGCGACAGTGAGGGCAGCGGCTGCAACGGCGGCGGCGTGGCCAGCGGCACCAGCTGTGGCGGCGGCGGCTTCGACGACAGCTGCCGGCGGCGGCGGAGCTCGCAGCACTCGGCGGCGTGGCCGGGCTTCGCGACGATGGGATGGCCGGCGCGAGATGGTCCAATCATTTTTAGAATTGACGATAGTCTTTATTCCAGACAGCTCTCATACCATGAAAGAATTTGCAAGGTGTTGTAGGAGACTAAGTATAGAATCTGCAAACACAAGTACTTGAAGTGGAAAGTAATAGTGGAAGTACCTCCAGTAACAGCCAGTATTAACAAGTTGTTACACCAGAATCAGTGTTACAACCTTATGATACTTCAAGACTTGAACAAGGATCTTTGATGGAATGGTAGACTTGCAAGACAGCGGAAGTCTTAGTACTTCTATGCGTTGATCACAATTTACTCAAGAACAAATTGATAATTGAAGTCATACAACTAGAAGTACCTGTTCGATAGTGTACTTGTTCAAAACTAATTGCGCTATGCGCTCTAATCTTATTGCTACTGAAAATAGCGCGACTGTTCGCGTGACTGAAAAGGCCTGCTGACGTAACCATCCAGATGAGCGTTATTTGCTGACGTCATTCTACGGATGCTAACTACAGTGTAACTCAATAACATCTATCGGAACTACTTACAGAAATGCTGAAGTACGATTTTATCACAACAGTTGCAGTACTGTTAAATTATATACGTTAGTATATAATTGTAGGCTTGGTAGGATTACTGAACTTTATTGTAGAGGGTACAGCACCCCTCCTTGTATCCCTCTCTCTTCTATTCTGATTCTCTTTTCTCTCCTCAACTTTCCTAGCACCTAAAACCTCTCGCCATTTCCATGGCTCCTCCTAGCTCCTAGCTAAACCTCATGCCATTTTATGGCTTCTTAGCTAAGCTATTCTTGCATTCTAACATGCTACCAGAGCAGGAGGTCCTCCCTGCTGGACAGCCTCCTCACGCTTCCGCCGTGTACTCCTCACCCTCGTTCGCTAGCGCGGCCATGGCGGCCGCGTTTTGCTGCAGTGGCGGCGTCGTGATGCCGCTGGCCGTGTCGTGCCGCGGCCGTCTCGACGCGCTGCCA